ACTTTCAATTACAATTACAATTACAATACAATACAATTTAATATAATCACAACCACAACTATAAATATAGTATTTGACAGCAATTTTAACCTATTCCTCTTTTGCTGCAGGCACAGCTTGGCTTGGTCTCATGTCAGTCTGGTATTTGTGGACCAATTCCGTCCAGCTAATCAAGTTTTGTTCCTTTGTATCTGCCCAAAATCATCGTAAACAAAAGTAAATCTTATCTTATAAAATAATTCTTTTAATCCTAGTATAAATGGGATGTTTTATTATAAGACCATAAAACAAAGATGGTTTAGTATGCTTAAGCTGAATCAAAATATTATCTAATCAAAACCCAAAAAACAAAAAAATAAAATAAAAATCCTACCTAGCAATTAACCAAAGATCAATGCTAAAGTAAATCTTAATTGACTCCGAGATGGTCTTAATTTTTTGGTCTATCCCATCCACCAACAGCGGATTAGCTGAGGTTATCAAGATGTTTCAAAAGAGAGGGCACAAGTCCTCCTTGTATGGGCGGTGGGCAGCTAAACTGAATACATGTCAATGTCGTTGGGGTTCAAAGAATGTAGATAATGAGTCAAGTAGGCCAACTTGCAGTGGTACAAGCTAGCTTTTCATGCACCATGCAGTGCACTAAAGAGTTAGGATGGCATTTCAAACATTGATTTATATTCAACCATTGCTGCAGAGACTCTGACTCCTTTTAGTGTATCAGTTTCACAACCATGTTGAAAATAAGTAACAGGAAAAATGAAAAAATGAATTTGAAAACGAAGATAACCATTTACTAAAAAGAGAAGTTTAGCCCAAGGAGTGATAGCTTGACTGATAAAGAGGTTTGCTACTTCTTTGCCTAGTTGATTAAGGTTCAGTTTCCTTAGGAGACCAATGAGAAAGTATTTCCCCATTAATTCAAATGCAGTAACAGTTAAACTATATATGTTTGGCGACATACAGGCTAAAAACAATGGTCCACAACCAGCAGATAAGTACTTGCTCTGGTAGGTTTGTCATTTGTGACCCAATCGGCCATATTTGCGTGCACGCCTAGTAACGATACATGAGGCTCAGCAACCAGAAAATTAACAGCACCACAATCCAAATCACTGAAACAGCATCAAGCATACAAGGATGAGCGAGCAGCTCAGATCATGGCTCAGATATTATGCCAAAAATTATAAATGGTATAAAAGCAAAGTTAATATGATAAATTTTGGTTTTAATGAGTCAATGAATGTATAAAATGAAAATCAGTAAATAGAAAAAGCTTCAGAGAGGTGAACCAGATTGGAGAACTGTTTTCATGAAAATTGACTAGCCACTCCCAGCATATACAACAACAGATGCTTGAAGGCCACAGTCCACCTTGACGTGAGCATGGAAAAATCTTCCTGTCTGCATTTGTGTCACAGAATCAGCTTGTGTGGGAACAAACGGTCACTTGCCAGTGCCACGGGCAACGCAAACCTTGATAATTAAATAAAAAAAATGTCTTGACCAGTATCTCTTTGAAAGAATGCAATTCCAGAAACTCCCCTAATTGCTTTTCCTCAGAATCAAATAAGACAATATGACTAGGTAGATACTGATTTTTTGCAAAATTGGTGATGGGATCCATCATGAAATGGTCTGACTCATCAGGCTCAGGGATTCCTTTCTCTTCTCTGTTGACAAAATTCCAGCCTACAGTAAGAAAGGAACTGCAAAAACATAGACCACAAAAGAACAGATATTCAAAAAGAATTGCCAGAGTTTAAACTTGGTGAGCAATCCAGAAAACGCATTGGCAGGTTACGGTGCAGAATGCAGTAATAAGGTGTGGCATGGCATGGCATTAGGAAAAGTATACTTTCCACTCTTTCCGTCATTGCCCCTTTAGATAGATACTTCATTACATCCTCAGTTCCTCTCTGTCTCAATTTGCAAGAGTAAGCATCCAGATAAGCATACCAAAAAGAAATGTGAAGGCAATTTTACCTGCAAATTTTGTTGTTGATATAAAAAGAAATTTTCTTATTTCTACTACTTCTATCTAAGAACACAAAGAAATGAAAAAAAAAAACAACACATATAATGGCAACTAGCAATTAAAATATTGGACATGGAAGTGTCCTAGTAAAGTTAATCAGCACCAGGAAAGAAGAAAGGGAATGGGAGTCACAGGGGTTTCAGATGCCCCAAATGCTAGTTGATGATATACCTGGTGAACTAAAGACATATAGAAGGCCAATGGAATATTGGTAGCAAGCAAGGAAAAGATAGCCATTTGCCCTTTTGAAGACCATTTACTGTTAATGTTTGAAGATCCTTTCCTTTCACCTTTTGAGGAATCTTGCTCTTGAAGAGTAGCTAACGAGTACCCAGAGAATATCAAAGCTTTAGCAAGCACAGGCAAGAAAAACCAAAGCTCATGAGCCAATTAGAAGATATCAGGGTCACAGATTTAAAAAACTCAAACAATTACACACAAAGCACATACCATTTGTATAGCCAAACCTGAATTCTTTGTGACCTAATATGCTGTAAAGACCTAAAACCTAAGCAATAAGGCCAGAAAGTTTCCAGTACTGACTTGATTATGCCCACTATTGAAAATGGCAGAAAACTGAATAGCATGACTGGAAATCCCTGAGTGAAGTCCCAGTACCACTTGTGAGTTCCATAATAATCTCCACCAGAGGAAAGAAAATTGAACTTTAGAAAATTAAGAGGAACTAACACCCAAGAGCCGTACATGAGGCGATCCAGTAAACAGGTAAATCCAATCACCAGAACCCTGACCACATCAGGAAAAAAAATTACATGACCAGCAGCAAAGAAGAGAGTAAGAAGGAACTAAAAACAACAAATACACGTACATCACTCATGTTTATGTAATTATCTATCCATATAGACATTTAAAAGACACCATTGTGCATCCATTGTACTTTCCTAGGGCATTCCACTCCTACCAGCCTAAGTTTAGTTAAGCATTACCATGTGCCTACTATTCTTTTCTGCAGCATTTGTTACACTAAAGTTGCAGTTGCACAGGACTATCTCCTATGTTCTTTAAGCAATTGTGTAGCATACAACGAAAAGAGAACAGGGGAAAATAAATCCAAGCAAGTTGGGTTGAGTGGAAATGGCAACTTTCAGAGGCGCTGGCATTGCTAAAATCTCATATTTAAGCATCTTTGAACAGAACCCAAGGGAACAATACTTGAAAATAATAGAGCAACTTCCCTTGAAATAGTAAAATTATTATAAAAAATACCCACCCAATGGAAATCACCTCCAGAAGAATAAATTTAAGTCTTCCCTGGGTCAAATACAGCTCACAAAACCCAACATACACCCATGTAATAGCACTTCTTGGCCTAATTGCACAAGCTAATGCAGCTACAGCCATACCCCACTTCCTTGAACCCAAGGGAACATTGCTTGAAGAAATTCTCATACATGGCCAGTAGTATAGGCTGACAAGAGAAAGAACAGTCTGTAAACTATTTGATAATGTACAATTGAAACAGAAAAGCATGAACCAATTTGTCAATTGAGAAAACAGCTGCAGAAGCATTAAGTACATCATCCGTTGCAAATCTCAAGCTGACTACTTCATACCCTTTTGTGCTTTGTGAAGACAAAAGCAACTAGAAAGATAGCTCAATTGAAAGATGAAAAAAGAATGGAGAAAATGGTTTTGTTTTGATTAAAGAAGAACACGTAGCAAAAGGATATGGCCCATTTTGCAACACAATGACCAAAAAAGGACATGAGAAGGCTTGTACATGTATAAATCACCAACTGCAGAAAATAAGGATTGCAGCAGCCTTGCAGCCTTGATCTATGAAGCATGTAAAACAGAATATAAGTAGTACGACCGTATGAGAATCATAAAAAATAAACCATTATTTCTTGAATGTATAGTCAATTTTATTATGGATGTTATACCAGTAAACAAAATTATTGAATTTTATGTATGCTTTAGCAGTGTTGTCCTTACAGCTACCAAAAATACTTAGCAACACAAAAGGCAATAATATAGTTCTGTAAAGAGAAAGCTAATTTAAACTTAAGATTCAAGTCCCACTTGTCCTCAGAATCCCCCTCTTACTTTCAACCAGACTTATATTAGCCCTCAGAATTAGAAACATATAAACAAAAGAAGCAGTAATCAGGAGACTCAGAATTGGAAACATCTAAACAAAAGAAACACTAATCAAAGGAAAAGGAGTGCAAACAGCAATGGTGCAAGTAGCTACGAATTCCCTTTTCCCATTCCCATGTCAAATAACCATACCTGTCACATTATTCAAAACATACAGTCATAACTTATTAACACTTCAAAAACCGCTGTTACTGAAAAAAAGCTAACTGAACTCAAACATACATCCAGCAGGCTCATACACCTTCTAATATATATACATATTTTGCATGATTTCAGAATTCAGAACCCAAAAACAAAGAGGCAAATCCAAATCCAACTTGCTAACCAAGAGAAGCCAAAATCACATACCCATTACTAATTCCTCTTAGATAACATCTTCGAAGGAATTCCAGTACATGCAAGAATCAAACTTTGCCTCAATTTCCAATGCTAAACAACTAAAAGCAAATTAAAAAATGGGGATATGTAAAACAAAAACCTTTACCCAAATGCTAGGCGATGCGCAACTTCAAGGGCTTGCCAGTGCTCATCTGGATTGAAATAAGTCTGAATCAACAAACCCTATTCGAAACGCCAAACAAAGCGCAAAGACTCTTTGAATTTGAGGAATTCTTTTCTTCTTCCTTTCTGTTGAGATTTGGTTCTTCATTGGCAGATGAAACAACTCCGCCATCATTCTTCCGGCGCTGTCTCATCGTCGCAGAAGCAGCAAGGCTATCTGCTGAGAAAAGGCCGGAAATACCTAGAAAATAACCAAATAATCCCTCTAGTTGTCACGAACCTATGAATGTTTTCTAAGTATTTTAGTAAATGGACCAAATTTTAAGATTAAGTTAATTTCGACGGTTTTTTGGGGCGAAAAGTAATAATAATTTCTACAATTGATCATGTAAATTTATATAGCACATGTAGCATTGTCAATGATTATTATAAATTTGGTACAAATTATAATGTATTTATCATTAAACTATTAAATGCATATATATCACACCTTTCCTTTGATTTAAAATAACTAACAATAAGTTAATAATTTTTTTTAATTTGTGCCACACAAGTTAAAATTGTAATAAATAAATTTTTTATCATAAAAATTTGTGTTAAAAGATAAAAATTAACATTTAATTTATCAATTATTTAATTAAATTCATTCAAGAGACATCAATATTAAAATTAATATTAACTTTTTCATTTTTCTATATTAATTTATGATAAAATATATATATATATATATTTCATTTTTAACAACATTTCTATAACCTCTCAAACTTGCCCCATTTTAGTATATATCCCCATAAATTAACAAATAAGCAAATAAGCTCTTAAACCATGTAATTAAAACTAATTAATCCTTTGTTAATGATTATTGATAGTTTCTATTGCTTTTAGCTAGCATATATGATAAAAGAAATTTTTTTTTTTTTGGATAAAATGTAAAATTTTTATTTATCCAGTAACTATAATATACATGAGCAGCAATTTGCTGCTACAACCAATCAAGTAATACTCAGCACAACTCTGTTGCACTCAACTCTTTACAACAGCTTTAATCCTGCATCTTTTTGCAATATCCATGGACAAAGGGGAAGTTTTAGGCTTAGCAAAGCCTAAAATTTTATTCCTGACATCAAACTGAATATCTTGAACAATTTTTTCCATTGATTGAAAGCTTTGTTGATGAACTCGCCTATTCCTTTCACTCCAAATATGGGAAACTGCTGCAGTCCATGACAACTTAATGAGAATAGTGTATAATGACTTCCTTCTAACTTTCTTCCCCATCCATGCTAATAATTTTTGCCATGCATCAGTGAAAGGAATTCCTACCATTTCACATAATTTGTGCCAAACTTGCTTTGTGTAACTGCACTTAAAAAAGAGGTGTGCACTTGTTTCTGCCTCAGAATTGCAAAATAGACATGTATCATTTATGTTGGCTGTCCATTTCTTTTGCCTAGCTCTTGTAGTCAATCTATCATGTATTGCCAACCAACTAATGAAGCTGTGTTTAGGGATTGATTGCGAGAACCAAACCAGTCTATGCCATGGGACTTTGTCCTGTCTTTCCCGTAGCCAATGTCATGTACTTCCTGTATTGAAAGTGCCTGATCTAGACGATAACCAGATTATAGAATCCTTTACCCCTTCCTTTGGGTAGAGCTTATCAAAAAGGGCCATTTGGATCTGAACAAGCTGTTGGGATCAAGCTAGAGGCCAATTCCAATAATTTCCTTGCACAACAGTTGATACCTTTGCATTGTATGGCAGTCCTGAACTCTTCATGACACTATCACCATATACATCTATTAAGGGACCTGAAGGGTGCCAATGATCTAACCAAAAAGGCAAAAGCTTATTATTAATGAACATTTATTTTATAATTAAAGGAAAATAAATAATTTTAATTGAATTACTAATTTTATTTAATTATCACATTAATGCATTAATGTAATGTCAAGGTTCCTAATTGTTACGTGTTGATTTGTTAACAAAGGAGTAATTTGTTGCAATTAGCACAGTTCAAGAGCCCATTTGCCTTTTTGGTTAAAAGGGTTATTTGCTAATATGGGATAAGTGTAAGGGCTTAAGTTTTGGTTTGCCAAAAAAAAAACATTCTCTCTTCCCTTCCCTCAGCCTTTATAAGGCGATCATTTTCTGTTCCTCATCTCAAACTCTCTCCTTCATTATTATTTTTTCTCTTTTTTTTTTCCTTTTCTGAAGATAATTAGACAATCGATCACAAAACAATCAATCACATTAACCTAATGTGATTGATTGTTTTTGGAATCATCACAATTGATGTGATAGATTCTTGTGATTGATTGTCTAATTGTCTTTTCATTTTCCATCATTACTGCCATGGCACAATTTAATACGACCGATTCCGTAATAATGGTAGAGCAATCGATTTGCCTTAAATTCCCTCCCAAGATCAATTCTCCCGGCCTGTTGGAATTCATGGTGAACAATGCCAGAAACGATCAAATCCTGGATTATATTGGAACAACCTTCCATCTGCAGATGACCGTCATCTTTGCTCTCACCCAATCATTCCACTTCATCTTCAGGCTTTTGGGAATGCCAATTCTAATCTCACAGATAGCCGTACGTTTATTATCTTTTTCATTCTTTATCAATATTGCATTTGATTGCAAAACACTAATTAGTTGGATGGAACTTGAATTTATTATCAGTTTCTTTCCATTCAATAATTAATGTTTTGCATGTATACAATATAGCTGTGATTGCAAAATTTTTCATTGGATAATGTTCTCGCTGAAATCAATATGTTCTCATTGCATGTTTTGTTAATTCTAGACCGGAATAATACTTGGTCAAACGATTCTAGGGAATGAGATGCTACTTGGGGATCATGGGAAAATTGCATTCTCGAAAGATAGCATTCAAGTTCTTGGGACGATATCGGCATTTGGTTACATGTTCTTTCTGTTTTTGACCGCGGTGAAGATGGACCTCAACTTGATTAAAAAGGCAGGAAAAAAGGCCTTATGCATTGGACTTCTATGCGTTTTGGCGCCTCTATTAAGTGGTATCCTCACCAGCATAACCTTAAGTCCCAAAGGCGAGAGCTTAAATGTCAAGAACAAGAATATGTTCCTCACAATATTATACTCGATTAGTTCATTTCCCGTTGTACATTGCCTTCTTGTTGACTTGAAGATCCTGAACTCAGAATTGGGTCGATTAAGTCTGTCGGTTGCGCTGATTGGTGACAATTTGTCAGTAATTCTTATGAATATTGGCTACTTAATCAGTATATCATTTGAATCAAGTGCTGGTAATAATAAGATGGCGGGGTTGATAGACTTTGGATTAATTATGTGCTTCGTTTTGATCGTGTTATTTGTGTTTCGACCTGCTATGCAGTGGATGGTGAGACAAACGCCAGAGGGAGCTCCAGTGAGGAGCATTTTCCTCTATGCTATCATCGTAGTATTCCTTCTTTCTCCTAAGCTTGGTTCCTGGTTTCATTTATTCATTCTTTTCACCCCATTGATTGGTTTGGCTATTCCGGATGGACCTCCATTGGGGTCTGCTCTGGTGGAGAAGTTTGAGTTTGTTGTTAATGGCTTATTTCTGCCACTATTTGTCACAACATGTGCTATGAGGGTTGATTTGACAAAACTTAATTTCTCAAACCCATCTCTGAAAAATCAGGCTCTCATCAACATTGTGATAACAATGGTGAAATTTGGAGTCACTCTAGGACTGCCATTTTTTTGCGATATGCCCGAAAGGGATTCTTTAGCTCTTGCTTTTATAATGACTACCAAAGGCATCCTTGAGTTGGGTGCTTTGAGCTTCTTGAACGACAATCAGGTATGTATCAAATTCCATTCCATTCCATCTTAATACGTATAAAAAATTAATGTTAATATTACTAACTCTTTTCTTTGTTCTGTTTACTTAATAATGTGAATGCAGTTCATATCAGATGACTTGTTCGCTTTCTTGTTTTTGATCGTCGTCGTCATGGCAGCAATTCCACCAATACTAGTGAAATTCATCTATGATCCATCAAGGAAATATGTAGGCTACCAGGAAAGGAACATAATGCGTTGCAAATTTAACGAAGAATTGCGGTTGCTGGCTTGCATCCATATACCAAGTAATGTCACTAACATCATCAACCTTTTGAACTCCTCATGCCCAACCTCTGATAGCCCCCTCACCGTGGATGTCCTTCACCTGGTTAAGCTCAGTGGACGA